CCAGAAGCAGGATGAAGCCCATGGTGATCACGCTGCCGTGGTCGCGAGATGTCACTGCAACGAAAAAGGCGCCCAAAATGCGGTCCACGATGTCATGGGTGAGAGGCGGAGCCTGTTGCCTGGACTCTTCCGCCTGTCTGGTGGACGCTGTCCTCTGCGCTTCCACCACTGAGTCAGCGAGCGGCCACTTGAACTCGAAAATCTCTTGCGCCCACAGCAGGGACGCGAAAGCGGACCTGGGCACCGACGCGCCCCTGTCTCGCGCATCCCGCAAGTGGGGAGCGATATCTTCAGCGTCCAGAGCCCATGGATCTCGTCCTGCCGCTTCGGCCCATGCTCTCAACCGATCCACACATCGGAGGTGCGACCTGAGCGTGGTAGCGACCCTCGCCCTCTTCGTAAAAAGCGGCCTCAAAAGATCCACTTGATCGCCCCAGGTGAGCCCACGCACAGTGAATCTTTGCATCCGGGGGGAGTGTGCAGAAAGATCCCGTGCCAGTTCTTCGCATCTCACGAGTTGTACCTCCAGAAACGCATTTTCGCGATCCTGGCAGGTAACTGCGCCGCTCTGTTTACGGCGCTTACGACCGCCGCTTACCTGGGAAACCCTTACCGGCTTCACCGCCGCAGCGTTTGCACCAGACGCCCGTGCCGGCGCTAAGACACTTGACGTGCCACTGGCCACGTCTGCACGCGCAGCACCTCGGACAGAGGCATGCGCTACCGCCTCTACTTCCGCGTAGAACGCGCTGTAAGGTTTACAGCTATCCAGCTGGGCATTACCGCCCACTTCCGTGACGACATCTTCCGCCGAGTCAAACCACGTGCTTGCTTTCACAACATTCAAGACGTCGTGGTCGAGCAGATACCGCTCGAGCTCGGCGGAAGGTGGCCCTGACTGGGCCACGCACGCACGTAGACGGGGAGACAACACAGGCTTTACTGCCTCGTCACCCTCTACCGATACATTGGGTTCTACACCGCTGCCGCCTTTACCGGCTGCGCGGATCTCCTCGGCCTTACCGCCTGGAGATGCCCCTTGCCACATTACCGTGGCTAGCAACACGCGCGCATTGACACTGCCCGCGCTCAGGGAATTACCTCCCACATGCCGAGGCCGTACCGCCTGGCCTCGCACTTGCCACCTTGCCGTGGCGATTCTCGTGAGACATTCCGTCCAGGGACTTACCTCCCCGTTGTCACCCTGGCCCTGGCGCCATGGCAACGGCGCAACAGTTCGCTAGCGCCACTGGGGCGCGCTGCCTGAGCCGAGATGGCTATAGGCAGCTCCGGTCGAGCTGGCAGGAGGCCCCAGGAGCAGGTGCAAGAGGAGGGCCGATCACGGCACCCTATCTGCGCCTGTCTGGTCTCTGTCCTCGCGTCCTGCCAGCGCTCGCCCACTCACACACATGATGGATGAGGATCGCCTTCAACCCTGAACGCCCTGCCAATACTCGGATCACCAGGCCCACTTCAGCACAACGCACGTTCCATCTCGCAAGGCCTCCCACTGGCGCAGAGGAGGATTCTGCGTCATCAGCCCTTCCCTCAATCACTCAAGGGACGGAGGACGATGACAGGCCACGCCCTCACTCACAGAGATGATGGATGAGGATGGCCTTCAACCTGGAACGCCGTTCCCTCATGCGGCCCACCGATCTGCCACGCATACCGGCCCCTCCAACCTGCACGAGTCTCCACTGTCGCAGAAGAGCACTCTGCGTCATCTCTTCAACTCTACTCAAAAAGGTGACGGGATGAGGACGGCCTTCAACCTAGAGCGCCCTCCGCCAGATCATCTGAGCTCCTCGATCCTCTCCTCGGAAGCGCGGTTACCGTCGCTCCGAACCGAACGGCTCGGACTACCCAAGCATGGTACAGCGAACAGACCTCTGTCGAACATGTTTTGGCCTGGCACGTCACACGTTCGCACGGGCATACCTCTCGCGCCAGCTTGTCCCTTTCACTCGGGCCCTCTTGTGGACGAATGGAAACACCAACCGGTGAGGACGGGTAGAGGGGAGAGAGAGAGAGAGAGAGAGAGCCTCAAGGATAGGAAAGGACTGGGGGGGGATCACGGCACGGGTGGAGGCGCAGGGAGGCACGATTGCTCCCTCACCCCTCAGATATGGACTGAAGGACATAGGTGAGAAGTATGGACGCCACCGTCCCTGCCCACCATGAGCCTCCCGACAATTCTTTTTTTCTTTCTTTATGTCTCTCTCTCTCTCTCTCTCTCTCTCTCACAGCAAGACGCAACCGACGGAGGCCATCCAAGGCCTCGAAACATTTGCGGCTCCCGACAAGCCTCCGATCAGATGGTTAAGCTGCCCCTGCAAAAGCCAGCTCGCTGCCCTCATCTTCTGCGGCATTGGCGCCTCACCGTGTGCCCACCTCCCCGTAACGCAGATCCCATCAGATCGGGCACCCCACGATCTCCCAGCCAGGATGCGCGAGGAGAGCAACAAAAGGCAACGTGTGGCGCAACGTTCGGATGTTGCCAGAGCCCCAGGATCCCTGGGGCGACCACACCCGGAGCATGGGCCGCGGCCCGAATTGGACGCGAATCGTGTGTGGGGGGGCGATACATGGGGGGGGGAAGAGAGGTGCCCTTTTCGGGCCCGGGCCCCCATGCCCTTTCCTGCAGCCCTTGCTGCCCACCCACCTCCATTTATCGCCCCCCACCACTACGCGTTCTGGGGCCTCCCGCTGGGGCGGGCTGGGGAGGCCTGGCTCCTGCTCCCCGTCCCTCGCCCCTGTGGCCGCCAGGCCTCCCTCCCGGCCCCCTCCCCCTTCTGCACGGGCGGACTTCGCACGTGCGCAGCCCCTCCTCGCCTGACAGCCGAGCGTTGTCCTGGTCGGCGCTTCGACAGTGAGCGAAAGTCGGCGGTGCACAAACCTCCGATGAATAAACCTCCACTTAGTGAAACAAAAACACCCAGGACCGAAACCGACGGACCTGGACCCGCAAAAATGACGGCCGCGACGCCCTCGCGCGAACCGAAAACGGCCAATTCACTAATCGACGTGTCAGGGTAGGAGGTCTGTCAACCTCCGATAGAGGGGGGGGAGTCTGGCTCCAAACCTCTGCTGTGTGCGACTGTTTGGAACAGCGCTCCCATGGGGAGTCCCATGGGTCGCGGGGCCTCCGTGCTTGCTCCACCTGCTAAGAACAGGCGCCAAAAACAGCCAAGATCTATTCCATAGGGCGGGGGCGACGGCCCGCGCCGATCGGCAAAACAATGAAGAAAGAAACGATCACCAACGGCGGGCCGTGTTTTCACCGCCGCCGACGCTGGCAAGGTAGCACGACATGCTCGAGAACATGATGAGGGAGGTGCGGATTATCAATTTTTATATATATATATATATATATATATATATATATATATATATACGCATATATCCGCCGGCCCCCTTGCGGGGCCATCAGGCTGCGAGGATTAAGGTTGCTGCTCCCTGCACCAGTTCCAGTTTCCAGCTTCCATTGTTACAGTACTGCTTTCTGCTTCCTACTGTACATTGTTACTGTCCGCGCGAGGGGGGGAGCCGAAAAGGGCCCTGGTTAGCGTCCCCTGGGAGGGTTCTTAGAATTTCTGGGGGGGCGTGGGACACTTACAAATACGGGAGTTTCGTGCCCCCAAAGCCATAATCCCTTGCACATTCCGCTGTATTCGCGCCCCCGAGGCCACGATCCCTAGTAAATTACGCCACATTCGCGTCTCCGAGGCCACGATCCCTCGTAATTAATTTACGCCACATTTGCGTCTCCGAGGCCACGATCCCTCGTGAATTACTCTAACGATCCCTCGTAATTTACATCATTTTCGCGCCCCCGAGGCCACAATTCTCGTACATTACGACAAATTCGCGCCCCTGACGCCACGATCCCTTGTAAATTATGCAGCGGGCGCGCCCCCGAGGCCACGAATCCGTCTTGCGGAGGCTGCCGAAAAGGCTCTTCCCCTCTCCAAAGCAGAAAAACTGTAATGTTCTGTATTGGGATATGTGCTCCGCTGGTATTCTTTTGCCCGCCCCCGTTTCTGGAAAATTCGGCGGTGGGTTCCACATGCCCTCCCCCCCAGGCCACGATCCCTCGTAAGTTACGCCACATTTGCGCCCCCGAGGCCACGATCCCGCGTGAATTACGCCACTCGTGAATTACACCGCTGTCGCGCCCCCCAGGCCACGATCCCTCGTAAAGTACGCCGCATTTGCGTCCCCCGACCCCCTGCAAATTACACCAAATTCGCGCGCACCCCCCACGCTACGAATCCACTTCGCGGAAACTGCCCAAAGGCGCCACTCCTTCTCCAGAGCAAAAAAAAATAACCTTCCCAGAGATTGCCTGAAGCAATCCCCAGCCGTTCCCAGAGCGCTTCCAGTGAACAACTGGAGGAAAATGCCAAGAAGGCAACAAAGCGTTCAACAACAACTTCAACATCTCAATCTGTTTTGCTCATCGCCAGCCGCCCTAGCATGACGTTCCCGAATGTCGTCAAGACGGCGCTCGAACATCCCAATATAGCTCTGATGTATCCCATTCTGATAGAAATGGGGCCGGCGGCAGGGGGCGAAGCCCTTACGGATATATGTATATGTATATACTTATGGATAGGGCGACGTGCGAGCCCCTCAACGTCGGCGAGTACTGAACATCAGGGACTCGTTGAAGCGGATTTCCAGTGCTCGGGCCCCCGCTCTGGGAAGACCAGTCCCCTCCGCAGCATGCCCGAGAGCAGGCTCGTGTGTGCGGCATCCGTGAAGGGGAACTGGGACACACAAATAAATACACACAAATAAAATCGTCACCCATATTTTTCCCATATTTTCAGGGTTTTTGTTTTCCCCCCCACTTCCCATATATTCCCATATTTTCTTGGAAACGACGATTAATTGTGTCTGTGTGTTTTTTCCCCTCCTGAATCCGTGCGTCCTCCGAGAGTGGGAGGGAGGGAGGCCTCCCGTGCGCACTCGGCGAGAGGAGGGCGGGGTCCGGCCTCGCCGGTCGCCGCGATGGCGGCATCGACCCCCTCGATGCCGTCGCATCTCCCCACCTGCCCTGCCCGCCCGCTGCCGGGCGAAGGGACGGCACAGGCACAAGCGCTCGGAGTTCGGAGTTCGGAGTTCGGAGGAGGAGGAGAAGGAGGAGGAGGGGGAGGAGGAGGAGGAGGAGGAGGAGGAGGAGGAGGAGGAGAGGAGGAGGGGAGGAGGAGGAGGAGGAGGAAAGGAGGAGGAGGAGGAGGAGGAGGAGGAGGAGGAGGAGGCGGAGGGGGAGGCGGAGGGGGAGGCGGAGGGGGAGGCGGAGGGGGAGGCGGAGGGGGAGGTGCGGACTTCTTCGATCGGCGCCGGGCCCCCTTCCCTGGCGGCCGCTGCAGCCGCGCGAGGCCGTCCGAGCCGAGGGCCAGGTGGCCGGGCGGCAAGAGCCGCGCTCGAGCAGGCGGCGTGGCGCCAGGGAAGCCTCGCCGCGCCGCGCGCGAGGCGCGTGCACCACCAACGCTCCGCGGCAGGGCAGCCGACTGTGCCGGCCCGCGCAGGTCGGTGGCCCCCCGTCGAGGAGTCGAGCGAGCGTGGCAGGGCAGCCGATCAATGGCGACCCGCGAGAGGCAGTGACCCGCGCACACTCCCTCCAGGGCTCGCCCAGTCGCGTGCGATGGGCCGAGCGAGCGCGGCAGGGCAGCAGGTTTCGCCCGGCTCGCCGCGCCGCAGGGTGGAGGCGCAAGGCGCGTTGGAGGGGAGACGAAAACAGCCCTGGCCGTGGGATAAAGCGAGCGGCGCACTGCGGATGAAACGGGCTTGGCCCGCATGAGCTGGAATTCTCCCTGGCCGCCTGGGGGGGAGGAGGGAGGGAGAGAGAGGGGAGGATGGTAAGCTAGCCGCGCCCGCGCCATATCTGATATCCGACTCCTTCCACCCTTCCCTTCCTATTGCGCTGAATTTGTCTCTATCCAGCGACGGGTGTCATAGCGGACATGGACCCCCAAAAGGACATTCTCGTGCAATGTGCACTTGAGGCGGAGGCGGAGGAGGAGGAGGAGGAGGAGGTGGCGGCTGATCTGGAGGATGAGCAGTAGGAAGAGGAGGAGGCAGGAGGAAGACGAGGTGAAACATCAGCTGCAGGAGCTGGAGTGGGAGGAGCGGGAGGAGCAGGAGGACCATGGGAAGGCAGCGGAGGGGAGAGGAACGGGGAGACAACGATGAAGAAGGACTCGGATCCAAGCGCCCTTCTGAACGACGGTGGCAAAGAGCCGATCCTAAAATGAGGCCGTCGCTGCAAACGTCAATTCCTCGTGCATTTTTCGGCTTCGTGCGTGCATTGAGCCAAAATGCTCGTCGATGGTTCTCGTCGAGAAAGAATGCACACGCCCGAGCGATACCAAGTTTTCGAGCACCGAAGAAGTTCCGATCGAAAAAGCCATGACAGATATCAAGCAGTGAAGCCATGTTCGCAACAAAAAACAATACGCGGAGAAGATCGGGCACCCTCGGCACGTGGTCGGGGAAGTGAGGAAAGAGAAGTACTCACACATAGAGCAGCTGTGGAGAGGGAAAGGAGGGCGGGAGAACGATACGGTCAAAACGTGTACGTATCGGGTGGTAAGGACGCAAACCCTTGGAGGCCGAAGTTGGGCTTTTTGGGGCGGCGAGCGACCAGCGAAAACGGGAAAGGACGGGCCGCAGAGGCAAGGACACACGGGTAGCCTAAATGAAGGCGGGCGTCCTTGCTAGGCGCGTTGGCTGCAGAGGGCGAAGCGAAGAGAAGGGAGGAAGGGATGCATGCAGAGAGGGGTGGCGGGACGGAGGAAAGCCACTGCACGAGCCACGGATCTGCGCACCGCTCCTGGTTGCTTCGTCGCGAGATCGCCATCGCCGCAAGGAGGGGCGCGCGTGGGATCTCCGATGGCGGAACCCTTCCAATCGATGCTATGGACTTCCTTCTGCAGTGGCATCCGCCTGTCCGCCTCCACCCGCTCGGGCACAAGAAAGAGCGACTCACGATAACTAACGAAGAAGCGGAGGATTGATGCAATGCCCGAACCCTGGCCCTCACGTCGTCCTGACCCTCCTGGCGCGAAGTGGGGTGGAGGCGCCCCAGGCGGGAGAGTGGCGTCGGAGGGCGGGCAGAAAAGGAGGAGGATGAGGAGGATGAGGAGGAGGAGGAGGAGGAGGAGGAGGAGGAGGAGGAGGAGTGACCTTGGGCGCACGATGTCGGCATACACATACGTATATCCATCTCAAGCGAAGCGGGCAGAACCACATTTCGCGCAGCATCTCGAACCTCAGAATTGTGAGGATGTCTCGAGCGAAACGCGCTGGACCACCTCCCGCGCGGCAGCTCAGCGCAGAATTGCGAAGATGCCTCAAGCGAAATGCGCCAGACCACCTCCCGCGCGGCAGCTCGGAGCACAGAGTCGGGAGAATGCCTCAGGCGAAACGGCCTGGACCACCGAATTTTCTTGAGGATTCCTCTGCTCGAGCGTCCCTCGACCGGAAGCAATTTCTACCACGCCAGCACCCCGTTCAGCAAGCTGTTCGCAGAACAAATGAGCGACGGAAAGAAACGGGCCTTTCGCGAGATGACACAGCGACCTTACGCGGCGACTAACGCGGGCCGCCAGCGCGGCGCGCCGCACTGGAAACGAGGGCGCTTACGCGCGACCTGAACTACGCGGGCAACTTACGCGCCAACGTCGGTGAAGACGGCCCCGCGTTCGTACGGTAGGTTCGTGTCGTGCCAACCCTGGCGTTGGTTTCTGACAACGCGCTGGTTCGTTCAACCTTGAATGATCGGCCGTTTCCGAAACGTTAGATCGTCCAACATCGACCGGCTCTGGGTCGCCGGCAGCGTTCAACGCTGAACGCCGGCGGCGGGGTCGCCACCGGTCGACACGACGCGAATCTACCGTGCGCGCGGCATTACGCGGGCAGCCTACGCGCCAACGTCTGTGAAAACGGCCCCGTGTTCGGTGGCAACTCATGGGAGCCTCCCGTACCATGTGCTCGGCTCTTGCGATTGGACGCTCGTCGACGCCAGTCGATGCTAAATCGACTCTAAGTCGACGCTCATCAACGCTAGATCGGCGCTATCTCATCGACCCTCAGACGCTAATCGGCGCTAGCCGACGATAAAGACGGAACTAAAACGGTACACCATTGGCGGCGAGCGAGGGGGGGAAATGAGAAGGAGAAGGCCTTCTCAAAGGCTAGGAAAATCCCAAGCCTTCCACGAAAACAAAACAACCTCTCAGAAGGCAAGGCCGGAGGGCTTCTGAGAAGTCCCGCCGCCTTCTGGGAAGGTCGTCTCCTTCTCATTTCCCCTCCTCGCTCGCCGCCGACACCAGGCTCCCATGATTTGCTGCCGAACCCGTGCTCGTACGTCGCTCGAGCGGCGGCAGAATCCAGCGGGCGCGTCGGAGGGGGGGGAACGCGGGCGCCGCCCACGGCAGGCCTCGCATTCGAGGGGACGTCCGGGGAGGCCCGACCCCGGGCGCACGCGCGGAGACCCGGCCCACCGAGTGATAGAGTCGAACCTGCAAGCCTCGTCCAAAATTACGCGACCGAGGAACCCCACATACTCTGTATCAGTTCCCCATGTTAGCAGAGCAACCGTGCATCATGCGTCGATTATGCTACTCGATCAACTTGGCGACCACGTCGCGCGGAGCAGAACATGAGGTCTTCGGCCAACAAATCTCTCACCGGAAAAAGAGGGCAGGCGGCGACGCGTGATTTTGAAACGCACGGACCGCGACACGTGGTCTTCGGCATCTGCTCAAAGCAAAGGCTCAGGGCTGCACGCGCAGCACCAAAAAAAACATGAGGGATAACCCTTGGACGGGAAGTCTCTGGTAGCGCCCTTCGATGGAAAATTTCTGGACGGCGGCAACAAGCACGAAGTCGCCTGCGTCGAAAACCTCGCTCGCCTGGAATGGCGGGGCGCTGCCGCCGACGCCTCGTCATCTCATCGACGCAGCCAGTGCCATTATGAATGATTGCTGACCTCGCGTGGGCCATTCAATCAATTCTTCCGTTTCCCCTGAACTTCTCCCGCTTCTCCAGACGGCATCTTCAGCGCGAGTGAAATATCTAATGTGCCGGCAGAGCAGCGCCAGTTTTGCATGGTCGCGCCGCGTAGTCTGGAGACTAAGGAGAATTTTCGACCCCTGATAAGCAACCGGCGACCTCGCGCTCAGCAACGGAGTCTCGCGCGCTTCATTTGACGGCGGGACAGGGTCAGCGCTTTGGCGATCATCGACCAAGGGTGCATGGGACAGATGAAACCACAGGTCCCGGGCGGCTTTCCGATGATATTTTCTGCCCCGGCCGTTGGGGTTGGCGCCCCTGGCGAGCGAGAGCCCCAGCAGAGGAGGCAATGGAACAGCGTCCCGCACCAAGCACATTGGTGCGCATTTGCCGCGGCTTTCATAGCGCGCCATGTTGGCGTCCTCGAGATGCTTCGATTTCGCTGGCAAAAGAGACGACGTCCGCGCGAGCGAGGCTCATGGCTATGAAATCGCTCCGAGCAGAGAGAACCTGCGTGATGCGCTTGGTCCTGGCGCGGTCATGTCGCGGGTCCCCCTGGTCAGCTGAACGGAGAAACTTCACCGCATCAGGCCGCTCTGCCAGGGCCGCCCGTCGCGCGGGGTCCGCGACGTCTCACGCGTCGCGCAAAGAGTCGATGCCATGGTGATCAGCAGCGGCTCGAAACGTCTCGCGCCACGGGGCGACGTCGCCCACCGCCCCGTAGAACTTAGCGCTGCTGGCTCCGGCGAGCGCATCAGGCTGCAATTCGACAACACAAAGGGTGGGTAGATCCTTTCTGCAGGACCCATCATCCGCAAAGTACCTGCGAAGCGCCTGCCACAAGTCTGCATCGTCGCCACGTCTCGAAGGCCGGCACTCTGGATCAGCAGCTCGCTTGGCCGCAATGTCAGCGCGCAGCTTGACTTCTTCCGCCTCCGCCTTTGACGACAAGTCCTCGAGCTGAATTGATGATCGCAGGCCTTGCGACCAAGGTCCTCGTGACCAACGGCGGTCCGTCTCCGCGGGCTCAGGGGGAGGCCGAATGGCGCCGGTGGAACGAACGGAGGTAGCAAGCAGAAGTGCAGGAGACCGCCGCGGGGTGAAGGTCTGCGCGGGCACGGATCTCACGGGCGTGGCCTGCGCGGCCGTGGCCCGCGCGGGCGTGGCAACGACCGCGTTGCCAGCGTCGCCGACTCGCCGAACTTTGCCAGCGGCGAGCCATCGCCAATCTCCGACCCCCCTGGCTGATCAGCGGGGAGCCCTCCGGATGAAGGGTTCAGCACGTACCTCGCCAAGCATTGCCTCCTGGCGTCGTCGCCCCCTCCCGGATGGAGCAGCTCATCGTGCCTGTTGAGAGGCGCATCAGGCCACCAATTCTTCAACTGTCGGCGGTCTGAACTCAATGCGCGTTTCACCGAAGCTGCCTCGCAACTGCGAAAATTGACGCTGCTAACCTCGACGCCCGCGCCTGTCGCGGACTTCTCCAGCTTCAAACGCGGAAGCGGCAGTGCGTCAATGGCGCATTTGCGCGGCGCGAGCGGCGCGGGTGGCAAGGCGGCACCTGCAATATTCGAGCCGATTTGGGCAGGATGCCTACAGTTCTGGCTGCCGCGCGTGCCGCGCTTCCCCGCCCCGACGCGCGCGCGGGGCCGCGCTTGCCGCGCTGTCCAAACCTGGGGCGCATAGGGGCCGCGGCGAAAGACCACCCGCTGCGAGCCCCCTGCGGTGTCGAGAAAGTGCCGCGCCTGGCGCGCTCTCCGACCCCGGCGCGCATAGACGCCGCGCTGAGAGACCGCCCCCTGCGCGCCTCTTGTGTCGCGAAAATGCCGCGCTGCCGCGATCTCCGACTCTGGCGCGCATGGGGCTGCGCTGGAAAACCAACCACCCCCTGCGCACCCTTTTGGCGTCGAGAGAAAGCCGCGCCTGCCGCGCTCTCCGGCCCTGGCATGCATAGGGGCCGCGCCCGCCCCTGGCCGGCCCTCTCCGGTGTCGAGGAAGTGCCGCACCTGGCACGTTCTCCGACCCTGGCACGCATATGGGCCGCGGTCAGAGACCCCCCCCTGCGCGCCCTCTCTGGTGTTGGGAAAGTGCCACGCCTGCCGCGCTCTCCGATGCTGGCGCGCATGGAGGCCGCGCTGAGAGACCGCCCCGCGCGCGCCCTCTCTCGCGTCGAGAAAGTGCCGCGCCTGCCGCGCTCTCCGGCCCCCAGCACGCATGCACCGCGCTGAGGGACCACCCCCTGCGCACCGCCGCTGGTGTCGAGAAAGAGCCGCGCCTGCCGCGCTCTGCGACCCTGGCACGCGTGGGGGCCGCGCTGGGAGACCACCCTCTGCGCGCGTCTCTGGCGTCGAGAAAGCGTCTCGCCTGCTGCGCTCTCCAACCCGCCCCTGGCGCGCATAGACGCCGCGCTGAGAGACCACCCCGCGCCCTCTCTCGTGTCGAGAAAGTGCCGCGCCTGCCGCGCTCTCTGGCCCTGGCACGCATAGGGGCTTCGCTGAAAGACCACGCCGTGCGCGCCGCCTCTTGTGTCGAGGAAGTGCCACGCCTGCCGCGCTCTACGACCCTGGCACGCGCGGGGGCCGCGCTGGGAGACCACCCTCTGTGCGCGTCTCGGGTGTCGAGGAAATGCCGCGCCTGCCGCGCTCTCCAACCCCTGGCGCGCATAGACGCCGCGCTGAGAGACCACCCCCTGCGCACCCCCTCTGGTGTCGAGAAAGAGCCACGCCTGCCGCGCTCTCAGACCCTGGCACGCATAGAGGCCGCGCTGGAAAAAAAACACCCCCTGCGCACCTTTTTGGTGTCGAGAAAATGCTACGCCTGCCACGATCTCCGACCCTGCCACGCACGGAAGCCGCGCTGAGACCACCCCGTGCGCGCCCTCTCTCGTGTCGAGAAAGTGCCACGCCTGCCGCGCTCTCCGCCCCCC